GTAGCCGTTCTTAGAGGTCACTGACAGAGGGCAAGACATTTCCAAAAGGAAGGAATTGCCAATAGGGAATGACCGGTGGGTTGGATGACCCTCCATGATTTAGCTTCAACCTGCCCTTCCTGCCTTCTCACCTACGAATTCCCTTTCAGATGCTCTGTCCTAATCCTCTTCAATAGTTCATTATTCTCCTGCTGACAGAGCCGTGGAGAAGTGTTATCTGTTGTACTCACTATGACTAGCTGATGGTGCCTGGCTTCCTGGAGCAGTGCTGTGATCCATTAGTCATGTTTGTCATAAACACTGGAAGGGGCAGTGGTAATGACAGTCTCTCACATTTGCCAACTCTGCTCAACATTCTTCCCAGTGTTGGGAAAGCATCTGCTTACTCTGTTTCTCCTTGGAAAGCTTTGTTCCTCCATTACACATTTTTAATTTTTCTCATTTTTATAATGCATCATGGATGCCACCTCTCCATAAAGTTGGCCTCTGATTTTTCCAGATGAAAGTAATTCTTCCTCCCTAACCTCCCCTGACAGTCTGGCACTCATTTATAGAGTTCAACACCTTCTCCTGTATGTTCTCATTGTTCTCATTTTATCTTCTCCCCAGGACTGGATTCCTCTCCAGGAGAGGTACCAGGTCAGTTTCATCTTTGTGCAACAGGCTGTCCCTGATGAACACAAACCTGGAACAAGACTTTGTAGCACTGGTGGGCATCTGGTTCCTCTGGGTGTCGGGTAGCCTGAGCCGAGGGGCAAATGGGTGTTCATTTTTCTGAAGAAGTCAGGCGTTCTGTGGCAGATGTGGGTGGAGTGAGGGGTGGGGAGTAGCATCATGGAGGGGCTGGGATCCTGTCTTGTCTCCTTCCCCTGCTTGAAGGGCAGCTTGAGAGAAGCTCAAGAGGGAGGAGTTGACTGCAGAAGCTGGAGGACCTGCATGACTCTCGGGCTCAAGCATCATTGCTTTAGGGCCTGGAGGCCTATGTGTGAGTCAGAAAAGGTGGAGAGAGAGCGGAGGGAGAGAGAGAGAGGAGAGAGAGAAAAAAAAAGAGAGAGAGAGAGAGAAGAGAGATAGGAGAGAGAGAGCACTGTCGGTGAGGTGGCACTGACCCCTCTCAGAAATAACTTGAGGGCACTGTGGGGTGATTCTGGGGTCCCGAAGTATGCCTATAGTGGGGCTAGAACCTTTCCAACTTGGTTCTGAAGGTTAAGGCATCCTCGGGTGTACCTGCTGGTGAGCTGAGAGCCCTGGGTACCTTTGGCAGACATTTTCATCCCCACAGCCTGGAGGGTTTGCATGCAGTGAGTCTGTCCTGCTCATCACCCTGTCCTCTGGGACAGCACAGTGCCTGTGCTGAGCAGGCATTCAGTTGCGATTTGTGGAATCAGTGTTGGTGAGGAGGGCAAGTGGCAATTGGAATGCGGATGTGCCCCCGAATTCCTCAGCTCTAGTCTCCATGATCTTCCACACTGCCCTGGGCCCAGCCTCGAGCTGTGGAGACCACAATTGAAGTCTGTTAGGGTGTACAGGTCTTGTCCTCTGTCCTTGGCTACCTGGTTTTAAGGGCAGGGTCAAAAGGGGGTGCCTCCCCTCTACTAGGGGTCAAATCCATGGATGTAGCATGTCTATCTCCTACTCTTCATCCTTGGCTTTTTTAATGTGAAACATCAGCAGCTGGTGACTCCAGGCACTTGGGCTCAGAGAGGGCAAAAGATTTCCCCAGAGTCACACAGCAAGTTAGTGTCAGTCTGGGACCAGAACTTGACTCTCTATAGTCAGGTCCCATTCCAGCATTTTTCCATGTCACTCAACCTAGCCCATGAGAAACCTGCTACCACCTGTGAGGCCACCATGACAGCTGCCACCTGGGGCACTGCCAGAGCCTTCTGCGCCCCCCTCTCAGCCTCTGTCCTATTTCTCCATCTCTCTCTATCTCCCCAATTCCCTCTTCCTTGCCATCTCTCTTTTCCTCCATCGATGGCAAAACCCGGGCGATCGAGAGGCTGAACAGGCTGGCTCCATCCCTCCTAGTTGCAGTCCCCTCTCTCCTTTCTTGTCTTTATTATTTAACAGACTGTAACATAGACCTGAAATCTACCTAAACCTATATGTGCTATATACTTGAGTCTGCTTTTTGATCCTTGTTCTGCAGTAAACTTTTTTCATTTCTTACTCACTAAAAATAAAAGAAAGAGAATGTCCAAGACATACCAAATTACCACCTCTTCTGGACAAAATTATTCGTGGCACCCTCGTTTATCCTTTGCTATTTTTTTTAGGGCTCAGGGCCTCCAGGAAAGGACAGCTCTCAGCCCTAGGAAGGCTGCGTAAAGCTGCTGCACCTGTGTTACCATCCCCGCTGCTCCCTCAGCGCCATAATCCAGGCCTGGGGCTTGGAGCTGGCTCCCTTCTGGCTCAGCGAGATCCAAGGGCTCGCTCTGTACTAACCACCCATTGTGAGTGTCCTTTAGAAACCATGTTCTCCCATGGGGTCCTCTTCCCCATCCCCCTGCAACCCACCACGGCGCACCAGATGGTTACCTGGGCATGATGCACGCTCCTGGCTTAGCGCTCTTGCCCTCTAGACTGCAATCTCTGAGACCCTTCTTTATCATTGTCAGGTGCCAGGGACCATGTTAGACACTTCCAAACCCTTCATCTCATTCAATCCTCACATTATATTTCTATTGCACAGAACTGTGTTGAGATACGTTTACCTGGTGGAGGTAAATGGTATTATTCCCACTTTATAGGGGGAAATTGAGGCTCAGAAAACCTAGTTTGCTTATCCAGTGTTACCATTTTTAGGTAAAATGGCCTGGATTTGAAATCAATTCTATTAAAGTCAAGTCCAGGACTATTCCTGCTAGATCACACTGACAAAAACCATAACTAATAATATTTTACATGTACAATTTTATTTACATGTATAGAGGGCTTTAAAGTTTGTGAAATTTGCTTCCTAATTTTCCCCATTGCAGCTTTCACACTGTGCTATAATACATGCCCTATCTCCATCACTAATGATGTATAGAAATAGAATATCCAGCATATGAGCTTTTGTGGAAGAATGCCTTGAGTGAAGCAGGGGGACAGAAGTGGGAGCAACTAATTGCCTGGAGGAGTCAGGGAAGGCTTCCTGGAGGAGGTTGCATTTGAATTGGGACTTGAAGACTGAGAGAGGCATTCACCACCTGGAGGAGAGGAGACATGCACTCCTGGCAACGGGACAGGAGTGGACTCTGGTGGGTGGGCTGGCCGGTGGGAGCAAACCAGACAGAAGCAGCAGGTTGGGGCCAGATTGTTTTGGGTTTGCACAGCCATGTGGAGAGGCCAGGCTTCTCCAGCATGGGAGGGCCCCACTGAAAGACCGCAATACAGCCCTGTGCTTTAGACCAAGTCCTCAGCTGCACGGTCTGATCCAGTGGCCAGGAGCTTTGAGCACTTGAAATGTGGCTAGTGAAACTGAAGAATTCTAGATTTTGCTTAACTTTAATTCAAATGTAAACCCTGATTTCACAATTGAAAACTTTTACAGAATGTTTGAAACAGTACAGGTATGTGAATCGATTTTCACCTGTAAATTTTATGAAATCTAAATGCAGAACAGGCATTTTGGATGAAAATGTGGAGTCTGAACTGAGATATACAGTGGGTGTAGGAAGCACACTGGATTCTAAACTTGAAGACTGCACAATAGTTCAGTGATGATTGTTCTATATTGCTTATGTGTTGAAATCATACTATTTTAGATATATAGGGTTAAGTGAAAAATATCATGAACATCAATTTCACCTATTTGCTTTTGCGTTTTAGAATGTGGCTGCTAGAAAATTTAAAATTCCTTGTGGTAACAGTATCCCTATTGGACAGCACCAGGCTGAGATTCCAACCCTTTCCGTAGGACCGGGGAGGCCCCAGACACTCGCCCTCTTAACAGCACCTCCAGTGACACTGATGCTGGTGGCCAGGGACCCTTCTCAGAGGAATTCTGCTTTAGAAAGATCCCTCTGGGCAAGGTACAGAGGCTCATGCCTATAATCCCAGCACTTTGGGAGGCAGGAGGATCACTGGAGCCCAGGAGTTTGAGACATGCTTGGGCAACATAGTGAAACCCCATCTCTACTAAAAATGCAAAAATTAGCTGGGTGTGGTGGCACTTGCCTGTAGTCCCAGCTACTGAGGAGGCTGAGGAGGGAGAATTGCTTGGGCCTGGGAGGTTGAGGGGCTCAAGCCTGGGGGACAGAGAGAGACCATGTCTCAAAAAAAAAAAAAAAAAAAAAGGAAGATCCCTCTGGATATGGGTGGAAGTTGGATTAAAGGTGTGGGCCTGGAGGCAGCAGGGCTGCTAGTGTCACCAGGATGTGAGGAAGGAGGCCGAACTTCAGACTTCGGGAGATTCCCTGAAGGCTGAACACCCCGAGTATTTTCTTTCAGGGACCTGGGCGCCCTCTGCCCTGTCCTGGCCACTAGACCTGGGGCGAAAGGGGAGCTGGGGGAGGGCTGAGTGTAGCTTCCAGCCTTGGAGATAGACACTGGCCAGTGCTCTGGGGGAGTGAGTGCACCTCGAGGGGCTACCAGCCCTGCTGGAAGCTGCCCTCTGGGGATTAACCCTGCACCCACTGCAGAGACCGCAGAAATGCCCTCTGGCATGGAAAGGAACCCAACTTGGCTGCCTGTTCCTATTCCTCCCAGGACGAGGGCCAGGAGCGAGTGGCAGGAGCGTCACAGTAGTAAGGAGGGATTTTTGTTTTGTGACTTGCTTCTCCTGCCCTGATTAGCACTTGGATCATGGAGATGAGGCTAAGTTTTTGCTCTTGATTTTGCTAAAGGTCCTTCAGTGATTTTTTGGGGGGCATTTGGGGGTGATACGGAGATGACAGAGCAACAAACCTCTTTTCAGGGAAGCCATGTCTGCAGCAGAAACCCTCCCCTGCCAGGCACCCATGTCTCGCAAACCTGACACCCTCAGGCCGCCGAGGCAGGCCCGCAGAGCCTACCTTGACTATGTCCTCGTTAATGTTCTTGGGGTCTCGGTTCACCAGGTCAATCTCCTTGCAGTGGATATCCTTGACGATCTGGGCCTCGAGGTCTTCTGCCATCATCGTGGAGCTGGGGCACCCACAAGAAGAGATCCAGGCCGTGTGGCCGGCTGGGGCTGAAAATACTTGGGGCAGAGAGACCAATTCAGTGTCCCCAGACTTATGTCCCTGCCAGCTGAATAGGCCCCACCCAGCATGCCAGCTGACAGCTGTCCCACATAACTTCAGCCTGCCTCTCGCTAAAGCCTCCAGTGGCAGGGCTCCAAGCTAAAATTAAGACTGGAGCTCTTCTGGAAGGTTGAGCACTCCTTAAAGGGGGCTACCTTGGGGCGATGGGCCTCAGGAGTGCAGAGGGCCTGGCATTTCCTATGTGTCGTGTGGCTGTGGCTGTCCTTCTGGGGCCCCTGGAATTTGCCCCATTGCTGTCAGCATTTGGGCTCCGTTGTGGAGTACTGCCCATGGAGGGAAGCGGGGTTGGTCCCAGCTCTGCCTCTGGCTGGCTGTGTGACCTTTGGCACACTTCACCTCTCTGGGCCACTCTGTCCCCCTCTGTAAAATGGGGACAAGATAATAACTATCAGGGCTCTCCTACCCTGGAAATGGCTTCAGGAGCTGGAAATGCAATATAGTGGGGCTTCTTGTTGGATGGTCAGTGCTTGGCCCTGCTGTTTGGTGACCTGGAGCAGGTCTGAGCTTGGCGAGTTCCTGAGGTTTTCACTTGGAGCAGGAGTTGATGGACTGTGGTGTGGAGCCAGGCTGGAGATGAAGCAGGGAGAGAAAGCTGCTGGGGGGCTGCCCCTTATCTGTTATCTTGAGCCTGCACTGGGATATGCCTGGTGGAGGGAACATGAAGTCTATGTTCACGCTGCCCTTCACCCTGCCCTAGTGACAGCTCCCAGGATGTTCTTGGACCCCAGATACTCCACATGCAGCAGTGGGTGTATCTCTCTTAGAGACCTACTTGGTTTTTCTGTGCCCTCTTGTAACTCAGCCATCCCCTGGGCCCCAGCAACACGAAGGATGGCAACTCTGAATCTGCAGGGATCAGGGTCTATGCTTCCATTTACCTGTCTATTCACTCATTCATTCAGGATTTGCTAATAGTGAGGGTGGGGGTGGGAGGGTAAACACCTCTGCCTTGAAGTGTTCCCAGTCAAAGGGGGAGACCAGTTAAAACAATACATGATTATAATACTGTGTGGTCAGTGCCACATCAGAGATATTTTACCAAGAGCTTGCCTTAGAAGTCCATAGGAGTCAGTGACTTACTCTGAGGACATCAGGGAAGGCTTCCTGTAGGAGGTGGCTTTGCAGATAGGCATGGAAAGACAAGTAGGAGCTCACCACCTCGAACACTTCAAGTTACAGGATTATGGGTATTGAGGAGTGGTGTAGACGGGAATGTTGAAAAGTGTGGAGTGGCTGGAACACTGGGTGTCTGGGGTTGAGGCAGGAGATACAGCTCAGCTCAGGCCTGGAGGCATTCAGGATTCCAAATGTCATACTAAAGGGTGTGGATTTTATCTAAGAGTGCTGGAAAGCCATTAAAGCTTTCAAAGTAGGAGAGGGTCAGTATCAGATTTGTGTATGAGGATGCTCCCTCGTGGCCAGGTGGAGGGTGGGCTAGAGCTGGCTGAAGTTTGAGGTAGGAGAGGGAAAACCAGAGCTGATTAAGGCTCTATTAATTGGCTATTAATACAAAGGATGCAAAAATAATCGTGGCTTGAATAAGATAGGAACTTTTTGTCTCACTTAACACAAATAGTTCAGAAATACTATAGTGGCTCCATGATGTCATCAGACATCTGGACCCCCATCCTCTGCTCTGCTAGTCTCAAAGCCAACTCATAGGCACAAGATGGCTGCTGCTCCTCCAGCCATCATCTCTGAGTCTGGACAAGAAGAAAGAGGAAGGGGCAGGGGCAAGAAACCACATCTGTCAACTGAGTTGGCTTTGTTAGAAAGCTTTCCTAGAAGTCCCACCCAACTACTTCTGTTTATATCTCATTGGTCGCTCCTCTCTTGGTAAATGGTGATGGAATTGTGGATTTTTAGCTGAGCAGATTTTCAGCCCCACAGTGTTAGTAGGGATAAATGGAAGGCAACTAGAAAACTCTGTTCCCAGCTCTCTTAGGATTCGGAGGTAGCAGTTTTTTGTTGTTTTTCCATTCCCCTGCCTGGGTCGCCAGGTCCCCCTGGTCCCAGGTCTGTAAATATTTTGCAAAGAGATCGGAACAAAGAAAGAACATTGCTGCTTGTATTCATGAGGGATGTGGCAGAAATCTAAGCCTGAGCTTAAGCTTTGTCCACTGTAGAACCAGTTATGTCTGCTGAAAGGTGGGCCAGCCAATGGCAGTCTTGTTGCAAGGGAAGGAAGAGCCACCTGGAAGAACTCATCATCCTAAAGGGGAAATGATAATAACGGGATAATAACGATGATTATGGAAGGCCATCTTTTCCAAGGATGATGAGATTGACACTCTACCAGGAGGGAGGGTCTGTGTTCCCTCCCTGGCGGCTTTCTGGCTCTCTCCTCTCAGGATTCTTGCCCTTGGACCTCAGTCACCATGCTGGGAGGAAGCCCCACCAGCCCATGTGAGACGACCACATGGAGAGGAGCTGAGGCCCCAGCTGTCAGCCAACATTAGTGTCAGGCATGAGGGTGAACAAAGCTTTGGATGTTCTTAGTGCCCAGTCTTCAAGTCATCCCTAACCTCCATGTCTTCTAGCTGAAACCCCAGACACCATGAAACAGACACACTGTCTTCTCTGTGCCCTGTCTGAATATCTAAACCAGAGTCCATGATCATAATCATTTTTTTACATCACTGGACTTTGGGGGAGCTTGTTTCACAATCATAGTCACTGGAACAATGAGCACTAATGGCAATAGCAACTACTGTTGGTTGAGGATTCATTATGTGCTTGGCTTCATTCTAAGGCACCCTTGATGTGTGTAAGGAGGCTCATTTGTTATCTGAAACGGTCATTGCCCCTAGCTGGTGATCAGTGCTGAGGGCCAAGGGGGTGGAGCAGCTAATACACATTGTGGATTTCACAGGAAGTAAGTGGACTTCAGCTGGGCCATGAAGGACGAGTGGAATCAGAGGGGCAGAGAGGAAAGAACCAGATGCCAGAGGCAGAGAAAAGTCATCTCTCACTTCGTTGTGACAATCTTATTTCCAAAAACCATGCTGGTGAAAAGAGCGCTGAAGCTGGGAGCCATTAGTCCTTTCTTGACCCTATCTCAAAACAGCTCTGAGCCCTCTCTCTGAGCCTTGGGATTCTTACTAGTCAAGTGTAGATGGTTAAACCTGCCTGTAGTTCCCCGTACATGAGTCTGTGCCCTCCCCCCCAACCCCCAGCACAGTGGGAAAAGCTAACGGGGCACCAGAGGGCCTGTGTACTCCCAAAAAAATGTTATGAAGAGAACGTACTGACAGATGAAACTTTCTAGTCAACCCTGGGGTGATGCAGCTAACAAGAGAAAGCAATTAAGGAGAGAGCGTGGCTTTCCCGAGCACATTTTGTGTCTGGCATTTTATGGAGGACGCTGAGTCCTTATTTTAAAGGATTTTTGTTATTGTTGTTGTTGTTATTTGGCTTGCCAGGGAAAAGAGAGAGGAAATAATTTTGAAAATGGGATGTGCAGGAGGACAAATCTGTAGAGAGTGTGAAAAACAGAAGTAACCGGAAAGGGAACGATTACATGGGCTGACTCACTAAAAAAGTGATGGTGCCATGATCTGAAAACTCAGTGAGCTAACAAGTCTAGGGCTACTATTAGCAAGCAAGATTGATCACTCATACAAATGTTTCCAAGGCTGGCAAGTCTAGAACCAACAGCTGGAAAGGAAGCTTTTTTATTTTTCCCACAAGTTTTAGATCTGTGCCGAGAGCTTCTATTTTCTTCAGGACTTGGCTTTTGGGGTCTGCATTTAGAGAAGAAATCACAGCATGCTCGAGCTGGAAAAGACCAAGCGTTTCCATTTTACAGGTGAAGAAACTGAGGGCCCAAAAAGTCTCAAGTTGGTGGAGCAGAGAGCATGGGATTTGGAGACAGAAGAACTGCTGTATGCCCATGAGCAGGCCACTCCCTTCCAAATGTTGCTTTACTCACCTATATAATGAGCATAATAGACCATCTTTCACCACCATCAGGGATCTGGGAGATTTTTTGAATGGGTTCCAAAATAGCGTGATCTCCGGATGCAGGATGCACCAATAGAGATAAGCACTCTAGTATAATGGAGGTGATTGTTCTACCCACCTGTGCTCCAGTCAGACTACTCTTGGAGCTCTGTTTGGGCTCCATGCTTGAAGAGGGATCTCTGAGATCATATCTACAGAGGAAGGGAGCTCCTTTAAGCAAGAGCTTGAAACATGTCTTGTGAGAAACAGAACAATTTTGGGTTCTAAAGAGGACTCAGCAGGAGGGACAGAAGAACTTTCTTCAAATCTCTGAAGGTATAAGGGACGAGATTTATTCTGGGTGATCTCAAGGACTGGTGAGTAAGTGGCAGACTTTGGCCTGACTCAACCCAGGGTCTGGCTTGCAGTTGGCCCTGTCGGTAATGATAGCTGATACAGTTCTCGGTAAGGGTACCATGAAGGACTGCCTCGAAGCTTCCCAGAGATGTAACAGGCTGCTCCAGAAAGGGGCTGGCTTTCTGGGGCCAGAAACATTAAGCTGGAGAAGTGAAAAGGAACCAAGGACTAAAAAAGTAGAGGAACAGGCAAACTGTAGGACCGTATAGTAAATCTTTAACGCAGGACTGGCTACATAGTTGAGGGGTCCAGAGAAAAACAAACATTTAACCTTCGCTAAAAAAGTGATTAAAAATTTTAACAAGATGACACTGTGCTGTGGCGTCTCCAAGCATGGGGCCCTATGGGTGGCACTGCCCTGGTTTCAGGCTCCGTGGGCCATATGATCTCTGTCGCGACTACTCACCTCTGCCCTTGGTGAGGCACCTCTGTCCCTATGGCACCTCAAAAGCTGCCACAGAAAATACTTAAACAAAGGTGTATGGTTGTGTTTCTGTAAAACTTTATTTACAAAAATAAGTGGCAGCCAGATCATAAAAACACGATTTTGGCTCATGGGCCGTTACGTAGTTTTCAGACCCTCTTTAGAGTGCTGGGTCATCAGAGCCGTCTTGGGCTGGTGCTGCCCTGAGCCATGTCTGGACGGCTTTGGTTTCATGTGCAAGCCAGCAGACTCTCTCTCTTTA